GCATGTATCATCTAATACGGCACCGGTAGCTGTTATACCAGATCCTCAACTTTGGTATGATTGTGTCGACAGCCCTCATGATCTGGAAGGGACTCATTGTGATGACCAATAGCGAGTCGCCCATAGTCGTGGTGCTCAGGTATGTCTCGCATCCATTTCCCCCCATTTAATGGGTTAACAAATGTGTGCCGTATTTGCAGCGGAAGTATGGAACCGGCGTTTTATAGGGGAGACCTACTGTTCCTCACCAATCACAGGGATGAGCCCATACGGGTGGGCGATATTGTCGTGTTTAAGATCGAGGGCCGGGAGATACCTATTGTGCACCGGGTGCTCAACTTGCACGAGAAGTATGCCATGATTTGTGTGTTTTTGTGGTCACATTGTATTGATTTTCATGAATACCTTTCCCGTGGGATAGAGAGGACGGCTCCATCAAAGTGCTGACCAAAGGCGACAATAATCGAGACCACGATCGGGGTCTCTACGCGCCCGGACAGCTCTGGCTCCAGCACAAGGACATCGTAGGCCGCGCCAAAGGGTTGGCCTACTTTTGTTACGCTGTTTTTGTTTCATCACAGTTTGTGTTAATTATTTTATGCCTCTATTTATAGGTACGTGCCGTACGTTGGTTACGTCACTATAGTTATGAACGATTACCCCAAACTTAAGGTAAGTTATACCCGGGTATTGAGTGTGTGTGTGAGAGAGAGAGAGAGAGAGAGAGGGAGAAAGAGAGAGAGAGAGAGAGTCATATGCAGTGAATTGACTGATTATTGTTATAATTTTGATTACAAAAGTGATAATTATTTTATTGTTGCCAATAGTATGCGGTGTTGGGCTGTTTGGGTCTATTTGTTTTGGCGCACCGGGAGTGACACCCCTCCACCCCCTAGTGTCCACCGTTTGTGCCCAGTGTTCACCCATTGGTTGCGAAGTCAACCATTTGTCTCAACCCCTTGTGTTAATTAATTAGTAATTTATTTGATGAAAAAAAGTTAATTTATTATAAAAAATGTTTCGCAAATACAAGTGTTTATATGAATAACCATTTTTTGCCACAAAAAGTCTTCGTATGATAAGTCATTCCAATGAAAATCTGATTGCAATTTAATGTCTACTTTTATCTGAGGTCCAGTTCCTCTCGTAATTTATTTTTTTGCTAACATTTTGTAAGACTTTTATTAAAAAGCGTTGAAAAGTTAATAAAAGTATTTGTTTTTTGATTATAATTACTGTTTAATAAGTTATTGTTAATTGATTTATTTAACTACAATTAAGTTACGGGTATTTGTCATTGAAAAACGTCAATTAAAAACAATTTTTGACGTAATTTATTAGCGATGATTTATTTTTATATGAATTGCATCAACAACAATTTTAGCGCTCAGTGTATGGTTGCCATAGAGACCAATGTTAACCACTCGTTAATTACGTCTCGTAACCCAAACTATAAAGTAATTTATTTTAATTAGTTTTCGCGATACATTCAAGGTAAGATTTAATGATACATTAAACTCAATTAAATGCTAACTAAATCACACGATAACATAATTTATAAACCATTTTAAGTCTAATTATTAAACTATAAAATATACTAAATGTTGACGTAATTGACGACCGATGAGGCAAACGATATCGTCGTATGCGATGAATGGCTAAACAAACGGTCGGAAAATGTGTGATAAAAGCGAATATAAACTCAAAAGTGAATACAAAACCCGCTTTTGGTGTCAATTATCGTGTGTTTTGTTTATCCATTCATTCAATGAGTCCATGGATTGAGTGATGAATGCATTGAAACCGCGAAACAAACACTCGTTTCATAAAC